TATCGGAGATAGAGCGTGTGTAAATATAAAAGTGAACGTTGAGATCAACACTTAGGCGACAGTCTGTTTCATGCTAGACGCAATCGTCAGGCCACGAGTGCTGTCATTTTTCTCGGCTATTTATATATACGGGTCAGTGGTGCATTGTGGGTAGTCTATTTTGGCGGTTATTTTACCGGAAGTCGTTTATTTGTTTATTTATTTATTTGGGTTAAATTATTTTGCTTGTCATTATTCATTTTTATTTTTTTTTATTTTCATTTCTTATCTTTATTTTTATTTTAATCGGTGTTTTTTTAACGTAGTAAAAACTTTGTTTACATTGCTTATTTCATAGTTTTGGTTTGGGAAGATAATTAAAGCTATTTATTCAATTTTGTGGTTGATTGTTGTAGTTTATTCTAACTATTATTTTGGCGGGAACAGTTTTTTAATTTGTTTATTACTTCATATATTTATTTGGATTAATTATCTTTATTTGTTTTTTTCTAACGGTTAGTTTATCGGGATCGGTTTGTTAGTTTATTTATTTGAATGAATTTAGATTAATTTATTTTATTTGTTTATTATTTATTTATTATACTCTATTTTTATTTACTCTTTTCGATTTTTAAGTAACGTAGTATTTTTTATCGTCATATAAGAGTTATAGCTATGTTTTTCGTCCGATTAGTCTAACTAATATTTAATATATGGTCATAATGATTTGTTAATTTGTTTATTATTTAATTTATTTATTTGGGCTCATTGATTTTGTTTTTATTTTTTATTTATTTATTCCGTTTCGTCTATTCTAACGGGTATGATTTGGTAATTTGTTTGGGTTAATTTATTTTACTTTTTTATTGTCTTTTTTTTTATTTATTTATTTGTTTATTTTTTTCTATCTTTTTTTATTATATTTATTTCAGTTTTCGATTTTTAAGTAACGTAGTAAAATTTTTTTTTCATGTCTGCATTTTGAGATGAGCTCAGATCTTTTATTTAATAATTTATTTTGGTCTGGGAAGGTAATGATAGCTAATTTTTCCTCCAAGCAAAATTTGCACGTTTTTGATTGGCTGTTGTAGGCTGATGATCTTTTCCTTATTTTCCAAGATATTTTTGGTCTGATGTGTGTTTTGTTTTTAATTTCCCGGATATACTTAGAAAGCATTGTGCTGTTCGCATATTTACTATTTGTGAAAGATGTTTTGTGTGTATAATTTCTTCGTTTCCAGGGTCCTTCAGTTACTCCTATGTATACTTTTTCTTCATTATTTGGATTTCTTATTCTATCGTGTCTTGGTATATTACGTTGTTTTGTAAACAATTACCGTTTCGTTGTTTATTCTTCAGTTACACGTGGGTTTAATTTGTTCGTGTGGTTTGTTGATAATTTTCCTGTTGTACTTTTTTATTATTTGTGCCATGTTCTCGGTGCAACTGTAGCTGATTTTTACTGTGTTCTGTGTAGGGTGCTTGATTCCAGGAGGTGTTTGTGTAAGAGTTTGAAGAATATTTTTCCTACGTTTGTTTTTACGTTTTGTTGTACGGTGGATTGAAACATATGATATTTCTTTTCCTGTTGGCTTTTTTGTGTTCTGTGGTGAGTATGTGACTATAGCTGGGAATCCACTATCTTTCAGGCCTATTTCGTAATCTTTCTTAGCTTTGTTAAATATGGATTCATTGCAGGAATTGTCAGAAAGCCTTCGGTTAATTGATTTTGGTATCTGTTTGATTATAGAGGGCGGGTGGTTGGAAGATGTGTGTATATAGAGTGGTTTATCATTGAGTTTTCTGTATGGTTTATATGTGTCTTTTCTTAGGGTGAAGGTAACATCTAGAAAATCTACTTCGTTTAGGTTAGTTTTTATATCTATGTCGAATCCATTATTTTTGAAAATCTTTATTTTTGCTTTTCTAGTTTTGTCTGTGTTTTGTTTGTTAAAGTTTCTTAGATTATGAGACCGTCGTCCCTGTAGAGTCCTGTGACATTTCTATCTTTTATTTTGCTTAGTTTGTGTAGTAAGTATATACCTATGATATCGCATGTGTGCACCGTCAAAGCTTCCCATTGTAGTGTCAAAGATCCCATCATTCTTTATCCATGCTTCTTCATTGTGAAATAGTAATGATTTACAGCAGTGCTTAATGATGTCGATTTCGTTTAGTTTTATTATTATTTGTTCCTGAGCTAAGTTGATGGCCTTATTTAGCATGGGTTCTGTTATGGATGGGTAAAATTCTTTTATGTCTAATTGTAGGAATTGCCGATTTTGTTTGTTATTTATGCTGTGGAACCAGTCAATAGTTGCTTTTGTGTTTTTTTAGATAAAAGGACTCGTGGCCTGGAGATTACATCTAGCATGAAACAGACTGTCGCCTCTAATATTTTACTTCAATGTTCACTTATATATATATATATTTTCGCAGATCAATTTTTGAAGGCGGTAAGTTCAGTCAATGCCCGGCGGAGTTAAGCTTAAAAAAATATTAGGACGAATCATGGTGGGAGACAAGAAGTTAGTTTTTCAGAATGACTACAATGTGTGTCCTTCTGCCTTTCCTTTTTAAGTTTATTGAAATATATAACTATAATTTAAATACAAATATAAAGCATTCTAATATGAAGTTTTAAATATAATACTAATGTACACACAAATATCATGACATATCTACATATATAAATATTTTATTATTTTTTAATAATGTTTTTATTAGCAACAGCACTCAATGTGTGATATTATATATATATATATATATATATATAATATGTGAAAATATATAGAAAATATATATGAAAATATATGTGAAGTTTTCGGCTCTTGTTTTGAAACATGAGACTTCTTATGTCGCAAGTTGGAATCATATTTTTAAATAAATAATTATATATATATATATATATATATATATATATATATATATATATATATATATATATATATATATGCATACATATATATTGGCATGGATATTTATATTTACATTTCGAATTGAAACTGATAGTTTCACTCCTATAGAATCCCATCCATGTTTATTAAATAACCCATAGAGGTGTTGATATACCACTAAACAAAATTACCCAAGCAAAGTACCAACATGAAATAACGCTTCCTTGACATTAATCCATATAATATCCTACAATATCTTAAATCAAAGTTTATTTCAAAATATAACTTCAACAAAACTACAACATAAACTTTATGCTGTAGCATACCTATTGACAATCATGGGTATGTCCCCATTCACATAAATACAGTAGTAAATACTGTATGTTGGTCTGCAGTTGGAGATTCATCTCCAGCTGTGTTGGTCAAACTCTCTGCCTCAGGGCAGAGGGGATCCCCAGTCGAGACTATATCGAAAGGCACAGCCTCGTCTCGGGAAAAGCTAACCGACCCCGTTTTATACGGGATCTACGGGGAATTTTTGTCCGAGTCTACGGGCTTGGATACTCCACATTAATTCGGCCTTGTGCCACATCAGGACGCGTGGGGTGGTTGGTAAATATCCTGCAGTTGGAGGTTCGTCTCCAGCTGTACTGGTCAAACTCTCTGCCTCCGGACAAAGAGGATCTCCAGACGAGGCTATGTCGAAGGGCAGAGTCTCGTCTCGGGAAACAGCTATCTGACCTCGTTTTATAGCGGGAACTTTTGGACGAGCCTACGGGCTCGGATACTCCACATTAAATTTGGCTTTGTGCCATATCTGACCGCGTGGGGCGGTTGGTAGATATCCTGCAGCTGGAGATTCATTGTGGAATTCACTTGACTAACTTCTAGCAGTTGACCACTTCTTCTACACACCGTTGGCGAATCTTGTATGTGTTTTTCTTGTCCTAAGTATTATCGTTCATTACTAAGCTTCTTTTGATTATTCTATTCAGTAATCTTCCGTAGGTTACAACACTTCCCATATCATCGTCTCACAAACAAGTATATTCACAAAAGCTATCCTCTATTCAACTGTGAATGCAAAATAATATTTATCGTATTTTTATTACTTTAAATCTCCCAATAAAATGAAATTTCGGCATTAAATGACCCATAAGGTGTTGATATGCTGTTAAACAAACAAATTAAGAATCATATTTACGTTTTGATTTTCATTCGGTGCGCTTATATGAAACTTTTCTGGCTTTCTTTTATTTATGAAAAATTGTTAGGATGGTCCCAAAGTGCGAATTCCAAATCGGAGGTACCAAAATCAAACAAGCGCGGAATTTTATATATCTGGGAAGTGTTTTTACAGAGGACACTGAGATCCGAACGGGTATTCGGATAGCTAAGGAAGCATCCCAAAGCTAAGCATGATACAAAGAATTAAGAAAATTTCGCTAGAAACAAGTAAAAAGAGTACTAAACTGCTATGTGATATCTCTCCTCCTGTATGGCAGTAAGTGCTGGGCGGTCTCCTGAAAGATGAAAAAAAAAGACTTGAAGCAACGGAAACGATGCTGAAAATACTGTGGACTGAACATGTGAGTAGGAACGAAATTTTGAAGAAAATAGAAACAAAAAGGAAACTAATATTTAACATCAGGAAAAGACAGTTAAGGTTTCTGGGAGGATATAATGAGGAAGGGGGGCTTGGAAAATCTGATACTCACGGGATACATAGAGGGCAAGAGGAACAAGACAAAGCATAACATACTTAGTGAGTTTGAGTTTAACAGGGCTTAGGAGTAATAACAGGAAAACAAAGTTTATTAAGAGATATAAAGGACAGGTTGTTGTGGAAAGCCATGATCACCTATGTCTTGAGGGGGCAGAGTGCATAAAGTATGTTCAGTCTCAAGTTTCCAAAAAGAGGTTACTGGAAACTTTTACACGCACGTAATATAAATATGTCTGTATATATATGGGGGAGAGGAAACTACTTTTTCTCCTGTTCAACTATTCAAATAATACATGTCGATTCAACTCTCGAAAGAAATTGGCTCAATGGAATATATATATATATATATATATATATATATATATATATATATATATATATAATTTCCTGGCTATATAACGTTGAAACACAGATTCCCATACGCTCACCGAAATTAAGCAACGTCGAGCCTGGTCAGCACCTAGATAGGTAACCGCTTGTGAATATCAGGTGCTGTAAGCTTGAATGTGCAAGTGGTACAATAGATAATGGCTGGGAATATTTACTCGAAGAGCCGAGTTCGAATCCCAGTTGTGTTCGTTATATTCAGTTATACGCAAATATCCTATGAGAAAGGTATTAAGCCACCTCTTCTCCCCCATCTATGGGTTAATTAGTAAAACCTGTATCATTAAAACCATTAAAAACAACAAAAAATGCATACAAAACAATTAGATTTCGGTATTAAATAAGTCATACAGGTTGATATACTGCTAAACAAAAACAACCAAACAACTAGGTCAGATAAGTTTTAATTAAGGTGTTGATACTTATGTGTTTCTTATTGATGTAAACGCTATCTTTAGTGGCTACATGAGTTTGAGTTGAAATTCTTGGGAAATTAATATCAACCGGCCTAGATCAAGAAGTTCTACTAAAGAAAAAATATGCTCCCGATATGAATCGAGAATCCACTACTACAGTTTAAGCGTGCCATTACCGGTTTGGTTACGGAAGACCGTCATGATAAAGACAGGCTTAATTACTTAAGGACTGCACACCTCTCGTTGGGACTTGGGACTTCTCGATTTAGGCCGGTTGATATTAATTTCACTGTTTGGGAAAAGAAAAAAATAGTAATGTAAATACAAACACGTGTGTCCACTAAAAATGACTTTAACAGAAATAAAAACTAATGCTGTATTAAAAAAAATGGCATTTAAAAAGTACTTCTTTCTACAGCTATATTTCTGTATAGAACTATACCTAATAACAATAACAAAGACTGCAAGTCAAAAAACAAACTGTCGACCGTAGTATTTCTGGAAGATAACGCTTTTAAGACAAGCAGTATTTGGTTTGGTTAGGTTGTTTTTGATTAGTGGCATATCAATCTGTATGGGTTATTTCATGCTGAAATTTAAACATTATAATTATTTCAAAAGAATTACATTATTTTATGATTAAATTATAATAACTTAGTTGCATTTTTTATCAAATAATCTTACAAAATCAAACTTGTTTTTACTTACAAGAAATAAGATTAAGCATAGCAAAATGTTTTTTTTTAATTTTATGTTTTGACAATGTAAGCCATACTTCAATTTTACTATAAAAATTGATTGTTAATTTGCTATAAAAATGTTTTGTAGGTCATTTTACTATAAAAGTGAACTGTTAGTTATTTTATTATAAAATGTATTGTTGGTAATTTTATTGTAAAATGTATTGTTGGTCATTTTGTTTCAAAATATATTACTGGTCATTTTGCTATAAATATATATTGTTGGTAATTTTACTATAAAATAAATTGTTGGTAAATTTACTATAAAATAAATTGTGGGAAATTTTACTATAAAAGTATATCGTTGATAACTTTACTATAAAAATATATTGTTGGTAAATTTACTTTAAAAATTAAAAAAAAATTATAAAAAAAACATTATTTTACGATAAATATATTTTGCTGGAAATTTTAGTATAAAATTGAATTATTGATATTTTTATTATGAAAATGCAATGATGTTAATTTTTTTATAGTCATGTATTGATGGTATTTTTACTATAAAAATGTATTTTTATACCATCATAGTGTTTTGATTTTTGTGCGTTTACTATATACTGGGACCATATCTGTTCTATATTAAAATATTTAACTAATAGAAAAAAACATAAAAGATTACATAAAATCATAATAGATTCAATTCTGTCGAAGTTTGTTTTTCATTATTTTCACAGTTATCAAGGAAAAGTATATTGAGTAAGATACGGAAAAAAGAAGAGAAGAAAAATGGAACATTATCTAGTATCGACATCAATGATAAATGATGAAAAACAGAGAGGAGAGAACTTTAAAATAAGCTATCCTGAGTAAAATTATAATCAAATTTGTAACAATTTTCTGTTTTTCATTTTTCAAGTATTTATGAGGAAAATATATTTTTCCACTTTAGTTAACTAAGACATAATACCCGGGAAATAAAGTTGGAGTTTTGCACATTTATTTAAAAATTTATTGAGAGGTGAATGTGTAAATGTTACCAAATAGTTGAAATTTTAAAGGTACTTTACTTAAGGTAGAAAATATATATACATCATACATTTTATAAGAAATTAGTTCAAAGTTAACAATATATATGTGTGTGTGTATGTGTGAGTGTGTGTGTGTGTGTCTGTGTGTAGAGAGAGTGAGAGAGAGCGACAGAGAGAGAGAGAACACTAGATAGATATATGAGGTGCTAAAAGTGTTTCGGGCCAGCTAACAAGGGATATATATATATATATATATATATATATATATATATATATATATATATATATATATATATATATGTGTGTGTGTGTGTGTGTAAAATATATAGAAAATAGGAAAGAACACGTTAGGTAAATAATTCAAAAGTTCTTTAGTATTTTTTTATTATATATATATATATATATATATATATATATACAAATTTCCGAAGATTAAATTCACTGATTATATTCCTTTTTATATCCTTATATATGTATGTACAAACATGCATAGTATTGCATATATATATATATATATATATATATATATATATATATATATATATATATATATATATATATATATATATATATATACATACACACACACACTATATATATATATATATATATATAGTATTTATATGCATATATTGTATATATATATATATATATATATATATATATATATATATATATATATATATGTATATATATATCATATACATACATATATGTATGTAAATATATATATACTGTTACATGTATATATCTGTATATACAGAAATATATCTATATCTATCTTCTATCTATATCTATCTATCTATATATATATATATATATATATATATATATATATATATATATATATATATATATATATATATAAAGTTTACATTTTAATGAAATCAAATATTGATTACTTGCAAATCAGTTTTGGGGAGTTGCTTTTAGATTTCACGTGTCGTGGACCATGTATAAGTTTGAATTTTTATATTAATGGGGGAAGTTTGCTCTGTATAAAAGCATTTCTAGATTGAGACTTATATATATATATATATATATATATATATATATATATATATATATATATATATATATATATATATATGTTGATTTCTGTAGATGCCTATGTATATGTAGATATTAATGCAAATGTAATAGGCACGTTACTACAGTACTTGGTCGCCTTAAGCCATCAACTATTTATAAATTACCCGCATCAGTTTAAAATGTAAACGCGAATATTGTGTAGCCATCTGTAAAGATGAAAAACAAATCCATCAAAGAAAGACTTATATATAATTTCTTCACCGCAATAAAAAGAAATGTTCCTGAAACTTTTCCACTACAAATTACGGAATGACAAAACTTAAGTAAAAAAAAAAAAAGTCTGCGGCGACTGATAATCCAGTCTATTATATTGTCAATATTATCTTGCTAGCATTTTCACATTCACGAACAAGATCCCGAGACATTTTTTTCTCTTAGAAAAGTCCGTAATTCAACTACTACTTTTTGTATTTATTTTCTTTTTGATTTTGTCTAATTTTTTTTCGTTAGTTGGTCATTACTTGTAAATATATGAGCAATTACATTCACGTGTGAGAACCTTTCCTCGAAACAAAAACAAAACAAATCTAATCAAATGTATTATGATATTATTTGCTATTACGCATTCACGGCACTATAGGGGTACTGGGGGTTTTATCCTCCCCACTGGAGATGAGAAGTCAACAGAAAACTAAATTTATCCTCTTGATCTCAATCTACGACAATGCTATTAAGCTGAGTGTATCATTAGTTTAAAACCATTAACGCCATTAATTTTCAATCAGAAAACTTCATTTTCCATTTTAGCTTCTAATATCTATATATGCAGAAAAAATGTGTACTAGTCTTATTTCAGAAAATAAGTAAATAATAATAATAATAATAATAATAATAATAATAATAATAATAATAATAATAATATATTATCATAAAAGACAAGTAATTCAGAAAGTGTATGCTTATTGACATACCATCTGAGAGAAACACCTCCATGAAAACTATCGAGAAATTATCCTAATACAAGGACCTGGAGATCGAGATTAACAGGATGTGGGGAATGAAGACTGAGACTGTACCAATAGTAATCGGAGGTCTGGGCCTCTTGAGAAAAGGAATGGACAATTTTACTGACAGTGTCTCAGGTAACATCAACGTACAAGTGGCCCAGAATATCGCCCTACTGGGAACATCCCATATACTAAGAAAAGTGCTATCAATTAAATGACAATACTCCTATGACCATAGTTTTGACCCGTCTCTACAGGAGACAAAGCAGGTAACAGCAACAACAACAACAACAACAATAATAATATTAATGATAATCTCACGAGTACAGCCCACACCTTACGAAGTGCTTTATCTATGTAAAATATGTGTGTGTGCGTTTTTTTAATTGGTCAGCGGAGAGTGTCATGATGCCATTTCTAACCTTAGGTCTTTGGGCAGGACCCGGAAAGAAATGTGTACACACCAGAAATCAAAGGAAAATAATAATAATAATAATAATAATAATAATAATAATAATAATAATAATTAAAAATAATATAAAATAGAATAAATTCTGTATGTAAAATCAAAACAAAAATATTTACAGCTAGATAATAAATTAAAAAAAAAATCATTTTATGAGAGAGAAAAAAGAGAAAGAAAAAAGAATGAGGAATCATTAAAATGTAACATCTGATTTATTTCCCATCACTTTTAACATTTGATTTAGCCGCCGCAGCCACTTTTTTATTTTGAGTTGATGTATTTGTTACTTCGTTGTTCCGTTGGTTAAATTAATTCAAAATTTTATATTATTTTTTAACTATAATATAAAAAAAAAAAAAAATCAACATTCTTTTAATTTCTCTACATCAATTTTTACCCTTAAACTCATAAGCGATTTGACATTACTATGGGCTGTAAATTTATAGCTTATAATAATTTATTACCTATTATTTACTCTGATTT